TTTTTTAGACTATAAAGTACTCTCATCTTTTTCTATAATTCCCCTTGTGTCGTGTTCATTAAAAGGCCTAGAGCCCATTTGAATTGGCTGAATTTAAGCAGTGTTTAAGTGCTAAGTGCTCATAGTCAGCTTATCAAAGTTCAATGATAATGCTAGAATTAGTAAGTACCAAGAGACACTTGATCCAATTTCATTTGGTAAAAAGTTGAAAGGAAATAAGAGAAAACTCACAGTAAGTATCAACCATACAATTTGCATTTGATAGAAGTAGATAAACTTGTATAACTAATTTGAACTGGTAATGGTATTTTCTTATAAATCAACTTCTCAAATTAGCACTCACATAATATACTACATAACACTAACAATTTAAATCCCATGTTTGTGGTGTCACTGTTTTGGGAAGTTGCACTAGCTAACAAAGAATCTGCCACCCTGGCATAAGTTTAAATGGTTTTACATGACAGTAAGTGATTATTTTCTTTCCTGTTAGTGCATCACTTCCTCTGACATATTTGTTTGGCACTGAAAAAAGTTGAAAAAAAGAAGGATATTCACAGAGGAAAGACCACTAGACCAACTTTTTCCATCTAGTGAATCAGTCACTGTGATTTTTCTCCTCCGCACATTACAAATATACAGAATTTTTTGGGGTAGGGCATAGAACTGATTAGAAATAATTAGTCGTACACACCACAATTAAGTTGTTGAACGTTAACAGTGGTTAATTTTTTAGAGGAACTTTGTGGGAAACCGGAACAAGAATATTGTGATTATTTTAAGGAGTAGATGTTGGCACAAGCAAAACCCAAAGATACAGGATTCAACAAAGAAGCTAGCCCAGAATAACCTTCCTTGGATCTAGATTTACTCTTTAACTACAAGGGAACAACCAGTAATCGATTCAGTTCTACTCATATCATGAAAATCATAAAACCTGCAGTTTAATCATAATTCTGCTGCTGTTTACTTTTCCTTAAATCATTATGACCAAAATTACTACACTCAACTATGTGTGATCAGTAAAGCTAATCCTATCAGGGAACAGGATACATCGAGTTAGATAACAAAATGAAACTATTTTGCAGCAACTGAGGAAAAGGACTGAAACCAATGTATAATGTGTTGGAAACATAGTCTGATTATTGTGAGACCAAAAGAAACATAACACATATTACCAGATTTTAAAATCACCAAAAAATATCTTGGAATCTAACAACATTAGTAGAAAAGATGTTCTAGACCTCAGTGGAGACAAAAAACACTAGGTGATTCTTCCTATCTGTCCTAGTCTTGGTGGACAGAGTTATCTGGTAACTATTGCTGGTGGGAGGTGAAAGGTATCCAGTAGAATTAGTCAAGGTGCGTGAAAACTGGATCGAACACCATGGTGATCAAAAAAAAAGTTCTAGACCTTATCAGCTTTAGCTCTAGGTGAGCTAAGCAATCAAATATGTATAAGGTGAATGCTCAAACACACCTTCCTTCTAACAAGCAGCAGCAGAAAAACAACACAGCCGTGAAAGTATCTGTGAACATCTGATTTTTATGCAACAATTCATTCAAAACAACGACTCATTCCAAAAAAACAAAAAAAATGCGAGACATTTGTCCATATGGAGATTGAAAGCATAGAAACAAAAGCAAATAAGTAAATGAGCAAAAATGTACTAATATGCAACTGCTACTGAAATCGCAAAATGTATGAAATTAAGAGATTGTGAGGTTCTAATGCTTCAAAATTATGGGGAAAGAGCTTACCGTTACTGTCGAAATGCCACTGAAATCGGAGAGAGGTGCAGAGATGGAGAAGAAGGAAGACGAAGGAAGAGAGGAAAAATTTAGGGGTTTTGTCCTCTGAGGGTATTGTTGGAATTAGAAAAAAAATATGAGGGATAAAAAGGTAAAATTGTTTGTCAAATAAAAATGTTTTTTATAAGAATTTAAACTCCATAAATTTCAAATTTTAAAAGGGACGATTATTTCAATCGCTAATAATTGAATTCTAAAGAAATACATAAACATATTTGATAAAATTTTAAAATAAATATACTTTTTAGCAAAAATTATTAAATTTCATCTAATTTATAATTAGACTTCTACATACACATTGAATTGATTTTCATTTATTTCCCTTAGTATCCTTCACTTAATTACATACTAGTTAACTATGAAGGTATGTATAGGATTAAATACCATGTCTAAATTTACTTTATATTTGTTGTATATCTTTTCTTTGATACATAACTAAAGTGAATATATATATAATAAATAAATATAAAACAGATCAAAATATTGATATAAAGTGAAACAGATCAAATTTAAATTTATTTCTCCACTATTGACATAGAAAATTGATGCAAAAATGGAGGGAAAAAAAGGGGGGAAAGTTAAAGAAAAAGGACCCTAAATTAGTTTTGCAAATAAATAAATAGATTAAGGGTAAATCATAAGCAAAATAAAAGGGTATAGTGCAAATAAAAGAATTGCACACACTTTAGAGGTACAAGTGTAAATAATTCTCGTTGTATTTACCACTTTAGCAAAGAAAAAATATACATATTGATTTAAGATATTACGGTAAAATCTCATTAAATTAATATAGATGGATAATGAAATATTGTTATTCTGTAGAAATGTTATTATTTTGTAGAGATATTATTCAATCGATGAATTAATATTTATTAATTTAAAGAGTGTTTTGAGATCCAATGAAGGTCAATTTTGATTATATCAAAATCATTGTATTTTACTAATTTATGTATCATTTTTATGAAACTCACATAAAAAATAAGAGAAAAGACATAAAGTCACCACTGAAGTTGTTTCGAATTTTCAAAAAAATACCTTAACTTTGTTGGTGTCCTATTACCCCACAAAACAATCTAAATCCACAATAAATATACCCTTTTGACTAATTTTAACACCACTCGTGTTGTCACGAAATTTGGGCGCGTGAAGGACTGTTCATACAACTTTAGACCAACGTAAAATTGTCATTTCGCACTCCCAATTTGACTTATTTTGGAAAAATATAAAAACCCATGTATTAATTTTTTTTAAGCTTTATTAGAAATAGTTTTTAATTTTCAAATCTTTTTTCTCATCTTCTCTACCATCATTAGCTTACCCATATTTCTTGGGCATTTATGTCTTCCTTCATTTTTTTAAAAACTAATGTTATTGTGTTCATTCATATTCTATTTGTTTTTTTGAAAAACAAATTAGTTTAGTGATTTTATTCCTCCTACAAATCAAGTTTGGGATTTGGGAATAGTGAAACTATGAAAAACTCGATTTGGGAGTAAGAAGTTGGAGAAGGAGGTGATTTAAATGTCATTTTGACTTGGTGATATTTTAAGTATTTAGATTTAGATTATTTAACGATATTTATTTTCATAAATAAATTAATTGGTAGTAATTTGACAAATAATTGGTAATGCTGCTGGGAAATTCCGTCCCGCCACAGCGGGTTTGGCAATTGTTCTTTGTGACGAAAGGAATGGCGAAGCTAAGAACAGAGATCGAGGCGAAGAAGAAAGAGAAACAGAAAAAAAAGGAAAAAAAAAAGAAAAGCAAAGAAATCTAATAAAAATAATTAAAAATTACTTTTAACACGTGTCAAGTGACTACTAGTACGTGACTACAAATATTTTTGTATAAGTGGTACTGGGTGAAAAATGGGGTATACATACTATTGTGAAGTTGTTCAATGGAGTAATAGGACACCCGCAAAATTAAGGTGTCTTTTTGACAATTCGAAACAACTTCAATGGTGATTTTATGTCTTTTCTCAAAAAATAAATGTGTTATACATAAAGTACAATGAATAATGGTTTGGATGCTATCAATTTTGTACTCTTGGTTTGGAAGACAAACTGATCGAGGAAAGATTAAAGTTTTGGAAGCATCAATTTTTCAATCCCGACTTGACGACAAATGTTCAGCAAGAGACAATAGCAAATTATTTTTGACATGGCAAAATTCATTCAGGGGATGAAAGCCCAGAGAAGTTGAATGAGCCCAATTGTGAAAACATCATTCATAAACCTGAGGTCATAATTAATGATCTCGGTTACCGCGATAAAATGGACATAAAAAATATGTTGGATTACCTAGGTGAAAATGATACATGTTCAGAGGTTCGGAGCTTAGAAGAAATTGTGAATACCATAGGAAAAAGCAATGTTGATGATGAAGTTGAAGGTGATACAATATCTATGGAACCAGTTACGCATAAGGAAACACTTATCGCATCTAGAACTCATCACAATTTTATGGTACAGTTCGAAAAGACAACACAAAAACTTTTAGATGCAATAAGAAAGTTAAAGATGAGCTTCAACTTAATTTAAATTTTAACAGAATACAAAACATAATTGAATTATATTTCACTAAATTGTCTTAGATATATTTATGTTTTTGTAGAATTATTAATTTATAATATTAATGGGACTATAAATTTATATAAGAATCTTCTGAAAATATATTATCTTATTATTTTATTGAAATGAGTAATTTTTTCTATTGGCCTAAGTCAGGACCGGAGAAAAATATTATCTTATAGAGATTATTAATTTAGTAAGATTTTATTGTATTTGTCATTTTAAAATAATTGAAATTTAAATTTGGCTCCGAAAACTGAGCCTAATTAGGATCCTACTTCCCACTCCGATTTTGGACCTTACTCTTGATCTCAAAGTGAGTTCTCGAATCGAGATTAGGTTGTGTCTCGAATCGAACTAAATTTTCTTTTATAATTAAACACCAAAAATAGATAAAGTAAACCAATGAAACACCCTTAAAGTTTGATAAAAATTCAAATAAATTAAGGGCAATTTTAACTCCTTTGTGTAGTAGTAAAAATATTAAGGAGAAACTAGGTCTAAAATAAAATAAAGACTATAAAAGTCTCCAACAAAATTGAAATTTAAAAAAAAAACAAAAAAACAATGGGACCGTACAAAAAACGCAATGGTTGAACAATAAATACCAGATTGGCGCTGAGGAAGCAAAGTAGACACACAACAATGGGGATAACTTCGACTCAGGAGATTGAGTATGATCAAACGAAAGCTGAGTACAACAGTGGAGGAGATTCATGGAGCTCATCAACGAACTGGACGATCTCTCGTGGCTCTCTTGAAGATTCCATTACTTTTGAGTCCTCCGATTCTCCGATCGATACTAAATCTACTCAGTTATCACCTCTTATTCTCCACCGACCTTCGCCGGATTCCGCCCCTTGCGAAATCAAGTGTAAGTGAATTAATCAAAAATATTGTATTGTTTACCGATAGTATATCATCAAGTACTTATTTGTATATGTTGTAAATAATAATTATGCAATTTTGACTGGGTTAGTCTGGATAGAAGCTTGTATGCCGGTATTGGAGATAAATTTCAGCTCAAGCACTCAAGATAGGTTGCTATTGCTGGTCGGAGGTGATAGGTATTCCGTGGAATTAGTTGAGTTGCGCGAAAGCTAGCCCAGACACCACGATCATAAAAAAAAAAAAGATAGAGCAGAAACAATAGAACATCTTTATTAACATTGTTTTTTATCTGGATATTTTTTTGGGTGCTATAGTGAGATGCTTTTATAGAGAAGTGAGAACATATGATATAACATAATATTTGGTTAGGTGTTAGTATAGATCGCCGTGTCGGTTGTAGTATTAATGTAGTCTTTGGCTTTTGATATTTGATATCATTTGTGGTTTACTGTGTTTAGGTGATCACATTTTGTTGTTGTTGTTGTTGTTATGGTTTCTTGCATATTTGCTATTAGTTGTCATGTTTCTCCCCCACTTATCTTTTGTCGTTTTATTACGGCTGTGATTTGCTTGAGCTGAGTCTTTTGGAAACAACTTTTCTACCTTGGAGAAGTAGTGGTAAGGACTGCGTACACTCTATACTCCCTAGACCCCAGGGATTTCACTGGGTATGTTGTTGTGATTTCACTCAAGTGTTCTAGACTCTAAATTGACCCTATATAACCAGGATGCTGATTTTAATGTGATGAACTAGCTATCCGAGATTTTCTAATGGGTATTTTGAGTTTCATATGTTTGGGGTTACCGAGGACAACTCTAGATAGGAATGAGTTGAGATCGCGTATTAGGGTAGAAGGTTAGTAGGGGTAGAGTGTTGTCTTGCCTTGCCTTGCGAAGGTTGGTTTGTAATACTAGTCATACCCTTTTAGTTCTTGCCATATCTTGTTTATTGTGTTTCAATTATCACACTATTTGCAGATGTTATTGTTCTTTCTTGTAGGCTTTACATTGCGTTTCCTATTAACTGCTATGTTTCTTCATTGTTTCTTCTTCTTGTACTTGGGTTTTATGCATTTGAGCCGAGGGTCTTTCAAAAACAACCACTCTACCTTCACGAGGTAGTGGTAAGGTCTGCGTGTACTCTACCCTCCCCAAACCACACTTAATGGGATTTCACTGGGTATGTTGCTGTTGTTGTTATTTGTTGTGTATGTTTGGGGTTACATGGGGAATTGCAGTTCTTTTCTGGTTGTCTCCTTTCACTTAAACCTGTATGCTTAAAGTTTTGAGAAGCTACTCCTGTACTGGTTTGCATATAGTCTTTAGCTAGAGGTGGTTCCCAAAGAACAAGCTACATTTTTTGTCCACTGATTCTATTCTGACGCTATCAATTTATGTACTGCAGTATGCTTTATGCAAAAGCATGAAATCAGGCAGGTCTATGTTCGGAGTACTGCTCGTGTTTATGAGATATACTATGCACCTACTCTGCAGAGCGACAATGAGTATCTATGTACCGTCCGCTGTAGCATAGCTGAGCGAGATGGAGAATTTCTCCAAGCTAATGAAATTAAAGTAGTTACCCCGCAATATTTGGAGGATTATGTAGGAAAACCAACAGAAGGTAGAGTTACAGCTGAAGCCAATTGCACAAGGGAAGATGATTGGGTCGAGGTTAAGGTTCCTGACGGGAACGGGGTAAGCTGCCTGCAAAAGCACACAACAGGGAATGAACAAAGAAGTATTGAGGTAGCACTATATGATGACTTTTGTGTTCTTGCCTTGTTTAGTATAAAGAAAGCAAAGAAGAAGGGTCTAAAGGGGTAAAGAAAACTTTGGAAACTTAGTGGATTCTATTGGAGATTTCAAGTATCATAATATAACTAAGTTGGATTTTGGGGATTCTGATGTAGATGTTTTTTGTCATATAGCGTTGTTAGAATGTTAATGGCCAAAATGTTTACCCATTCTGTTAGTTTTTTGATCTATTCAATGGGAGAAAAAAGCCAATTTGAATTACAATATCGTATTATTGTCTTGACTGCAGATCTTATCTTGCAGGATTTATACGAGGCCACAGCAGAAATTAGTGATGCAGATCCCTGCATGTCGCTTACAATTCGCTTTTTATCACTTCCAAATAAAGATTCTCTATGCATCGACGAAGTTTACATATTTGGTGACCCTATTGACTCTAATGAGGTAGAGACCCCAGCAGCTCCTATGGAAAACCAAGCTAGTTCTTTTATGGCCATGCTTGTTCCCACCCTTCTGCAACTATCTAAATCAGGCGTCAGTCAGAAGCAGCAGGAGAAAGATGTTTCTGATAGTCAAAGAAAGGAAAATGAAGTGGGAATCGCAGTGAGGACATCTGATTTTGCTGATGCCAGTAAAGAAAATGAACAGGAAAAGAGGATGAGTGCTGATCATATAGTGCAGTTGGATGTCACTGACAAGCCTGTAGCAAAACCCACTCATTCCCATCCTCTGATACACCAGGAATTAAGCAGAGAGAACCACAATACCTCCACCATGAGTAATGATGCTTCACAAGGTCGTATTGTAGGAGCCATTGAACAACTTCTTGACCGAGTGAGCAGAATTGAAAATATTTGCTTGAGATTTGAAGAAAAGATGGTTTGTCCAATGAATAGCATGGAGATGAGACTTCAACGACTGGAGCAGCAAGTAGAAACTCTAGCTAAAAATTCCCAAGTTTCTGGAGTAGCGTCCTGCAATAGAATAACAGCTCCTTCATTTACTGGCAGTGAGTCCAATTCTAGCTCTTTGTATAATGATGGAAGTGAATATCGGTCTTGTGGGGCATTGGAGCTGGAGAAAAAGGATCCCCCTTGCAATAAGTTGTCCGAACCTTCTGATGACATGCCTGTTTCTTCTAATCCTTCACATGTTCTTCCAAATCTTGTGATTTCTGCCCCTGAGTTTTCATGTGGAGAGGATGAAGAAGAAAATGATATTGTTGAATCAGTAAAAGTTTCTTCTCAAGAGAAGCAAAAGCAAGTTTTATCTATTGATGATGCTTTAGCTGCAGCACTTTCTGGATTTCTGTCCACGTCCCACGTTCTTCCACCAGATGAAGGGACCTTGGAAGTTGTTGCTTCTGGATCTATTAGTGAGGGAGTGAATGAGAAGAATGAGTTTTCAGAATCTACCCAAAGTGCTTCAGTTATCGCTCACAACTGTACTTTGGAGGGAAAAGACAATGACAAACCTTCAAAGTATACTCAAATTCTTGCAATTGCAGCTCCTGACTTTACCGAGGAGGAGTACGAATTTGAGAATGCAAATTTCATCATAGCTTCTTCTGCACCAGCTCCTGAACTTGCCAGTGAAGGAAATACAAATACTGAAATAGCTTCTCCAAGCACTGGAATTCAGGACTTTGTTGATCTTAACAGAAGCAAGAGCATGGATAACGCAAGTTCACCTGTTGGTTCTGAGACATATGCAGAGCAAGAGAAATTTCTCCATGAGAATGTGCAGCTTAAGGAAACTTCTGGAGTAATTGGTTCGAAAGATCATCCTTATGCACAAGAAAGTATCTGCAGATCACAGGATAATCCCACTGCTTGTCCTTCAGGTCAAGATGATAAGGTTTCAGAGACTAATGCAAGAGATTCTACCAATGAGCCACAGATGAATTCTCATAATCTAGGAAATGCTGCTGAATCTGAAGAACGTAATCCTTCAAAAGGTTCTCACTTGGACGTTATGCAAAATGTTTGTGAATATCTAAGACCTTCTGCTCTAGATTTCGACATTCCTATCTTAGATGTGAAGTTCACAGCCAATGAAGACGGTGATTCCAAGTTCTCACTAGAAGTTCTTTTAGGTGACACGACAGATGTTAATGTTGATAAAAGCACTGATAATGCTGTCACTAGTGAGGGAACGACTTCCACTGATATGGATGATGAAGAATCACTGAAGTGTTTTGCAGGCGATAGCAACACTTTGGTGGATTTTGAATTTTATGCTGCAGCTACATTCACTAATTCAGATGGACACAGTAATCCGAGTATATCCAGCAACCACGAGGTAGTCATCGGTCTCATCTGAGACCTACTTTTCGAAACGTGTATAGGTACGTTCAACTAGTTTATGACTGATTTTTCTGTTTTTAGTTATAGTATTCAAATTGAATGTTCTTTTGTTTCTCTAGTCATATTAAGCTCACATAACTCCATAATTCTTGATTATTGCCATATCTCATTCCTGCTTAACCTTTTACCTTTCTCTTTAGAGCTGAAGTGGTAACAACCAAAATGCAATAACCAGAAACAATTAAGAATATACATATAGGATTAAGAGCCTGTTTGGTATTGCTGCTAAAAACTGTTTATTTTTAGAAGTATTTTTTTAAAATGGCTTTTTAGAGAAGTGCTTTTAAAAAAAAAGTCATTTGTGTTTGGCTAGTTCATTTGAAAAGTATTTTTGATAAGCAAATTATATTTGACTAATGTTTTTTAAAAAGTACTTTTAATTTTCAAATTACGAAAAAGGGAAAGTACCAATGCACTCATAATATTAAGGTTATGTTATAGAGATGAATTATTTTAAATATCTATTATAAAAAAATTAATTCTATGTTTGTTGTTATTAAATTAAAATGTATATATGCAAATTTACAAAGATGAATAAAATAAATTAAATATTGATATAACATTAACATGATGATTTAATATAATTAAAAATATCAAACAAAATAAATTTAAAAATCATTCCACAAATTAAATCACTACTACAAAAAAATTCACAACAAAAACAAATAAGTATAAGAGATATATTAGTAAATATGTTTATATGACAGATATTTTGGTTTTGAAATAAATGATTTTCTGTTTTTTTTTTAAGAAGCAGAATTTTTTTTAATTTCTTCCCAACAATAACTATTTCTGCTTCCATTGAAAAATTGTTTTGCTGATTACCTAAACACCTAATTTTTCAAAAGAAAAAGGTGTTTTTTTTCCTTAAAATAAGTGTTTTTGGCCTCCCAATAACAATGTCAAACAAGCTCTATACATTGTATTAATTTTTCATAATATATACAAGTAACATTTTTTATACATTGTGTTAATTCTCTATTTATTCCATTTTTACAATTTAAAATATTGTATTAATCTTTCATAATGTATACGAGTGACATTTTCATTCGTGTTACGTACATATTTAGTGATTCTTTTAATACATATACATAATAACATGGATCAAAACTATATATAACTATTGATCATGTTCAATTGATCTTATTATAATGGATTTGAATGCATTAATAGTGTCTCCATTATAAAGTCTACCACACATTATTAATTTATGTCCCTATAAATTAGTATAGACATAACCATTATATTCACCAATAACTTAAACATGAAGGTACAAACAACCATTTTTCTTCTTAGTTTTCCAATACTCATTTCTCAATATTTGGTTATGAGTCAACCTAAAATCCCATATCCTCCTTGTGATATATGCAGTTGTACTGGCAATGACTGTCAATTACCAGGAGATCCATATCCATATGAGTGGCCAGAGTTGGTAGGAATGGAGATCATGCATGCCAAATACATAATAGAACACACGAATCTGCGTGTTACATGTGTCGTGTTAAACTCACAATGTGTAAAAATATCTAACACATGTTGTAATCGTGTTTGGCTTTGTCCTGATGAACATGGTTTTGTTAAATATCTTCCAAAAGTTGGTTGATAAAATCATATCATATATCGAAGTTGTAATTCTCGACTTTTATAATACTTAAGTCCTTGTTATTATGTAGATTTGACTTGTTTTACATTTTCTTTAGAGAAACCACAAAAAAAAAAAAAAATCTAACAAGAATATCAAGCCATTGATTTATAATATTCAACATATAGCAACTCTATCATTGAGCTACTAGACACTCTTTTATGATTCAAAACATTTACAAATAATTTCCAATCCCAACTCAAAACATTGATATAATTATATTTACAAATTATATATATACAATAATAACTAAGTACTAGTTTGATGTCTGATTTTTATCTTTAATAGTGTCTGTCAGATTCATCGATGCAAGATAAATTTCAGCTCAAAGACAAGTAGCTTTTATCTTGTATATTCAAGTTTAATATGTCAAGAGTAAACTTCAAATTTATTATTTTAAGAGTAAATCGAGGAATATATATAAATTATAACGTAGAAATATTTTTTCTAACATATATTCCCGAGTATACTAGGTTTCAAAACAATTAATGCTTTAGGAGTTGATAAATCACGAAGCATCCTGAAGTTTTACCACTTTTAGTGGTTAACAAGTTTATAAAAAATTGCCAGTAATTAAAAAATGAAAGTCCACACCTTCTAGACTTTCAAAGTATTTGTTCGAGATGATAAAATTATGTTGATAACGTGTTATAAAATAATAATAAAATATAAGATAACAAGAGAGATAACCAAAGAAAATGAGGGATCGATATAGATATATTATATTTCTACTTATACTTCAGTTTTACGGTATGATTTTATACTATTCGGTTTGATTTTTTCGGTTTTTGGTTTTGAAGAAGTGTAACCCAATTCGAATCAAAATAAATTTGGGTTGATTTGATTTTTCTCTTTTCAATTTGATTTTTTTCGTTTCGATTATTCGGTTATGTCAATAACTAGAAACATAATCAAAATTATATTTGTAACTTGAATAAAATAAAATAATATATTTGCTTAGTTGTGTAATTTTCCTAAAATTTTATATACTCAATCAATTATCTAAGCCTCTTAACATTAACAACATTATTAATTATTTTGACATAAACTAATTATTTAACAATAAAGACTAATTATGCCAACTAATATGCGATTTTTAAGAAAATAGAATGTATTTATAATTTGAGCACTATTTTAGAGTAAAGTCTCCAATATTATTTGAAGTGAGAACTATATAAATTCATAACTCATAAGTATATAAAGATATATATTTTTAATTGTAAAAAAACGACAAAATTACCTTGAAATTAATTTTAAAAATATATTTTAATTTTATAAGATAATTATTTTTAAATTGAAAAAATTCAAAAATTAAATACTCAAAAATTATAAATGTTATAGATAATATTGATACACCAATATTCTCCTTATATATATACAATCATTAATTCAATCTTGACCAAACTATACTAGATAATATCTCCATTAAAATGCCACACATTAATTATTGTTTTATGGCCCTATATATAAACCAAAGCTTTATATCACCATTCACCAATAACTTAAACATGAAGATCACAACAACTTTTTTTCTTGTTAGCTTTGTAATACTGATTTCTCAATATTTGGTCATAAGTAAAACCCCATATCCTCCTTGTGTCGGTGGTGTCTGTGGTGGCAATAAATGCAAATGGCCAGAATTAGTAGGAGTTGAGGTCAAGCAAGCCAAATCTATAATAGAACAGACAAATCCTTTGGTCACAGGCGTTATTTTACCTGATTCTGCATGCATTCGCATGATGGATGTATGTAGCAATCGTGTCTGGATTTGTCCCGATAAACATGGCCGTGTTGCAACTGTGCCAAAAGTTGGTTGATAAAACTTTGTCCATAGAAAAAAACAGATCAAAATTATCATTCTCAACTTTTATAATATATAATAAAAAGTACTTTTTATTTTTATTTATTTATTTGCATGTGTTATGTAGATTTGATTTGTTTTTAATTCTTTTCAAATCTAATAGGAATATATATCGAGACAAAAGGTGGAGTCAAGAGTTTTATTAATGAGATTTAGAATATAATAAAATAGTCACTTATCAAAATTTTCATCTATAATATATACATAAAAATTAATTTTAATCATATATGATTAATGTAATTTATTATCGTAAGGCGCTTTCTTATGTTGTTGTTTAAAATTATATTGCTGCTCTCTTCATTTCTTTAATACTAAAGTCACTATTATTTTTACTATATCTACTGTTATTAAATAAAATAATTTCATAATTTTTTAATAAATGTGAAAAGAGTTAAAATGATAAATTAAACAAAACATAGGGAGTAGTTATAATTTTTCATTTTAAAAAAATGAAAATTGGGGATAGGGTAGAGGAAATAGATCGGTGAAGCATAATATTTGATACAAAAGAAACCAACTGATTTTGAATCATTTTTCACAACCTGAGTTTGTAAAATATAATGAATCTACAGGTTTATCCTCAATTATTATCGGATTATCGATTAACTGTTAATAAAAAATCTTAAATAGTTATAAAATTGATTGTTTGATAAAAATAAAATCAAAGTCATTATCGAATTATTAAATCAATAATATATCATCGCTAAATCAATCGTTTTTCTGTTTTAATTTATCGAATTCGGTTAAATTTTGGATAGTTCTAATTGGCATAGGCTCTACATAGAGAGATGAAAGAAAGACACAAAAGTATCTTACTGAAGCTAACATCGACTCTCTCCATAAAGGAAGAATTGTTGCCCTCTTATTTTAAGTTTTAACTATATACATTTATATATCATAAGTATATAAAGATATATTTTTAATATAAAAATGACAAAATTACCTTGAAATTAAATTTTTTTAAAATATTTTTAATCTTGATTAATAATTATTTTTAAAATTGAAGAAACTCAAAAATTAATTAAAAATCATAAATAATCAAAATTAAATGTCAAACATTATAAATGTTAGAGATAATATTGTTACACCATTATTGTCCTTATATATACAATTATTATTTCAAATCTTCACAAGACTATATTGGATCATATCTCCATTAAAATGTTGAGTTATGAACATTAATTATTATTTTATGGCCCTAAAAATTAAAGCTCTATGGAAATAAAAAAAAAATTCTTCTTAGCTTTATAATGCTCATTTCTCAATATTTGGTCATAAGTCCAGCAAAACGCCCTTACAAAGCAATATGAGTGGCCAGAATTGATTGGAGTCTGAGGTTACGCGAGCCAAATCTATAATAGAACACACAAATCCTGATGTTAATAATGCATATTATCACATTATGGATGTATGTTGCAATCGTGTCTGGCTTTGTCCCGATAAACATTGCCGGGTTGAGACTTTAATTTTAAAGTCACTATTATTTTTACTATATCCACTGTTATTAAATAAAAATAACTTAATAATTTTTTTAATGAACGTGAAAAGAGTTAAAATGACAAACAAAACAAAACAAAGGGAGTAGTCGTAATTTTTTATTTTAAAAAAAAATGAAAATCGGGGACAGGGTAGATGAAATAGATCGATGAAGCATAATATTTGATACAAAAGAAACCAACTGATTTTGAATCATTTTTCACAACCTGAGTTTGTAAAATATAATGAATCTACAAGTTTATCCTCAACTATTATCGGATTATCGATTAATTGTTAATAAAAAATCTTAAATAGTTATGAAATTGATAATTCGATAAAAATAAAATCAAAGTTATTATCAAATCGCTAAATCAATAATTTATTATTAGATAAATCAATAATATTTTTTCCGATTCAAGTTTGAATTCGATTAAATTTTGGATAGTCCTAATTGGCACAAGCTCTAGACAAGGAGGATGGAAGAAACACATAAATATCTTGCTGAAGCTGACATTGACTCTCTTAGTAAGGAAGAATCGCTGCCGTGATATTTTAAGGGAATAAGACATAAGTATCCCATTCAATTATGGACGAAATCACAGCGACACAGCTTAACTATATATGGGGCCTATTACTCCCTGAATTATTTTAAAGTGTAATAATTATACCCTTCGACACTGAGGTGGCACAAAGAGTGTGCTCACTCTCTTGGAGGCATGTGAGAGACAAAAAGGAAGTAGTAAAATTACACTCTCTTGGAGGCATTTGAGAGACAAAAAGGAAGTAGTAAAATTTGACGGGATAAGGCACAAGTACGGCCCCCTAAACTATGACCGAAATCCCAGAGACTCACCTTAACTAAACTAAGGTTCTATTACCCTCCTGAACCGATTTTCTTTTGTAATTTTGTACACATTTTTGGCTTACGTGGCATCCACATATCTCTCACGTGCCTCAATTGCGTGGAGTCACGGAGTGTGCCACGTAAGAAAAAAGGTGTACAAAATTACAAAAAAATGAGTTCAGGAAGGTAATTGGATCTTCGTTTAATTAAGGTGTGTCTCTGAGATTTCAGTCATAATCTAGGGGGTACTTGTGCCTTATCCCAATTTAATATGATATACGTGGCTTCAGTTGGCATCTATGCCCTCCAACTTTAGATGTGTACAAGTAGACACTTAAACTTATATAAATTTGAACAAATAGACACATTCGTCTGACGTGGCGTCCTATATGAATTTTGTGTCCTACGTGGTGTACTATGTGTATTATGTCACATAGAACGCATGTCTACTTGTTCAATTTTATACAAGTTTAAATGTCTACTTATGCACACTCAAACTTAGAGAGCATAGATTCCACCTACATTCAAGTTAAATGACATATTTATGTATTATGTCTTTAGAATAAGTATTAATAACACAATGCTCACAATATTAGAAAGATTAATTGCAAGTAGAAAATAACAATCATACTAAATGCCTAAATTGATAGGTGCTGACATCTTTATGGCCAAAGTTGTAATAGAAGAGGTGAATCCTGATGTTACAGTTATTATGCTAGATGATAAATGTCATACTAGTTCAGACATATGTTGTAATCGCATCTATATTTGTCCCTATCAAATATGAGTATGTTAAAACGCTGCCAAAGGTTGGTTAATAAAACTTTATCGATAAAAAAAATCAGATCA